GAACGAACATTATTTAGGCTCGAACCAAAGAGATAAAATAAAAGGCCACCAAACTCGTTAATGATTCTTAACATTTCACAAATTATGTCAACCTTGTTTTTACATAAAACGACTCAAAATACCACGTGCTCTCTTAACAAACACATATCGGGTTTAAGGAGATCAAACATGTAACTATATGCATAGCTGACCTAACATGCAAAATCAGGTGCGTCTCTCCCCCTTCTTTCGGACGAATCTACACGAACATTCTTTTTCGAACAGAATTACATAACGTAGAACACATCGCATCTGTTTATCAATTTGCATTTGAAATGGGACGTGGGATGGATTTTAATAGCCCTACTTATGGGACGAGCGCGGATTAAATTAGAACCAGACATATGGAGAGAGGCCAAAAGAAAGGCTGTTAATTTGAAGTTAGCAAGGGGAAAATAGGTGGTTTAGAATGATTAAACACAATTAACCACAGATTATTGAAGCAATTTTGCAATACAAACAGATACTTTAAACGTCATGAAGGCTAAAAAATGAGTACTCAAGCTGCTCAAAATGGAAGCTGGGTATGCCAGCCTAGTTCCAATTACCAATCAAGAGGCATCTTCTTTGGCGACACCCCTTTCTCCTATGGAAGCTCCATTCTTCTTGCTCAACTTTCTCTCTCCTCCCTTCTTACCTCTCTTCTACAATGCATTCTCACTCCTCTGGGGGAAAGCTCGTTCATTTCGCAAATGCTGGTAAGTTCACGAACAAACTCAATCCTTTCTGTTCTTTGATTTTGACATCTGGGTTTTGTTTTTAGGTCGGTCTTATGCTCGGGCCTTCGTTTTACGGCGGGGATAGTCCTGTTTTGGAGGCAATATTCCCATTCAAAAGCTTCTATGTTTCCGAAACGTTTGCGTTCTTCGGGTGCTTAGTGTTCATGTTTCTCGTTGGAGTTAAAATGGATTTAACCATAATTCAAAGAACGGGACGAAAGGCTATGGTGATCGGAGTTTTAGCGTTTATATCGCCATTGTTTATCAACTTCATATTAGCTTCATATCTAAAGAACTCGATTGATATGGACTTACAATTGAAAAACTCTCTCACCGCGATTGGAGCGTTTCAAGCCTCGAGTTCTTTTCATGTTATCGCTTGTTATTTAGCCGATATCAATCTTCTAAACTCCGATATCGGTCGTCTTGCTCTCTCGTCTTCGATGATTAGTGGGATGTTGAGTTGGTTCGCGATTGTTGTCGTGTTCACGGTGCAACAAACGTCGAACCGACAACAAGATGCATTGCCATGGATGGCTCTTTGCATTGTTTGCATGATTATTCTTGTGATTTACATTTTGCGGCCTATTATGTTATGGATCATTGAACAAACTAATAACTCCGGGAGAGTCATCAAAGAAGGCTACGTGCTTTTGGTGTTTTTAATGTTGTTGTTTTGTGCTTTGTTTAGTGAGTTTGTCGGACAGCATTTTATGTTGGGGCCCATGATTCTTGGGCTGGCTGTGCCTGATGGGCCGCCGCTTGGCACGGCGTTGGTGGATAAACTTGACTCGTTTGTGTCATCCGTTATGCTGCCGTGCTACTTTGTCATAAGTGGGGCAAGGATCAATCTTTCGGAGATAAATATGAGGAGTGCTTGGATTGTTCAAGTGTTGGCATTAGGGAGCTTTCTAGGGAAGTTGATTGGGACCGTGCTGCCTTCTTTGTATTGCAAAATGCCTTTGGTCGATTCGTTATCGCTCGGACTCATCATGAGCACGCAAGGCATCGCCGACATTCTCGTTCTCCAACATGCCATGCTCCTCTTTGTAACTCTCTCACGACTGCCCTGTTCGTTAAATTAACAAAAGTATCGTTAGTACCACATTTCAAAGTGAAATTTTTGTGCAGATGATAGATCAGAAATCGTATGCTATGATGGTGGTAGCGATGATGGTAGTAACAGGGATGATATCACCGATAGTGAAAATTATATATAACCCATCAAAGAAATACAAATCGACTTCGAGGAGGAGGACGATCGAGCATGCTAGCCCTAGCGGGGAGCTGCGGTTGTTGGTTTGTATCCACCACCATGACAACACGCCCTCCATAATCAACTTGCTTGAGGTCTCCAATCCCACCCTCAAAAGCCCTATCTACTTCTACCTTCTCCATCTCCTCCAACTCACGGGTCGAGCCTCTCCGCTCTTTATCGATCATCAGAACGGTAGTCATCATGACTCCCAACGTTTCAATCCAATCATCAACGCCTTCCAAATCTACCAGAAATACAATTACGATAAAGTTGTTTAATTTATCATGACCCATCAACTTATATTTTTAAATTCAATTTTGACTCGACGTTAATTATCTAATGTTGTTTTCTTTTCGGGTATGATTAGGTTTCAATGAATGCCTTCACATCCATAGCTCCTTACGTTAGCATGCACGACGATGTGTGTATGTTAGCGTTGGAGAAACGGGTGGCAATGGTGATTGTACCGTTTCACGAGTGGAGGGCGGTGAATGGTATCATGGACTCGATGAATCAAATAAGGGGAGTGAACAAGAATATTTTGTCAAAGGCTCCTTGTTCGGTTGGGATCTTGATCGATCGTGTGAGCTTGCAGAGCACGGCGATGATGTCAATGATGAATAGAGTGGATTTGTATAAGGTGGGAATGCTTTTCGTGGAAGGGGCGGACGATCGAGAGGCATTGGCGTATGCCACTCGCATGGCGGAGCATCCGATGGTGGCGCTCACGGTGGTCCGGTTGATGCTACCGGAAAGTAAGACCGAACGCAGGGCGGAATTGATTCTTGATTCGGAGATGTTAAACGAGTTCAAGAGGATAATGGAAACCTCAGGGATTCAGCATTGTGTTTATGAAGAGGAAATGGTGAAAGATTGCGTTGGGTTGATCAACGTGATAAGATCAATGGAACAGAATTATGATCTCATGTTGGTGGGGCGGCGCCACGACGGCGAGTCGGAGCTGTTCCTGGGGTTGAACGAGTGGAACGAGTACCCTGAGCTGGGCATCATCGGAGACATGTTCGCCTCCACCGATTTCAGCGGCGCCGTCGCAATGCTGGTAGTTCAGCAGCAGACAATCGGCAACGATGAGGATCTCCTCGACGATTTCCGATGCCTCATGGAGGAGTCATTTAATGTGGATATAAAGCCCTTCAACAACAATTGAATTTTTCTCCCTTGTATATAATTTTTTTTTTTAATAAAAAATTTCATTTCAATTAATTTTTTTAATAGATAGTTTCTATTTATTAATATAATTTTTTATTAAAAAATTCACATATATATCATGTGAGTAGGACCGGGATTTAGGGTGGACAAAGACGAAAAATATAATTTCGTCTCCGTTTGGTTAATGGAGATCTCATTCCAGTTGTGCAGCGAACGAAACATTTCTTATAAAAGTATCGTGAGGCTGAGGGCGATACGTAATGGGCTAAAGGGAACAATATTTGCTAGCTATGAGGTTCGGCTATTACAAATGGTATCAGTGCCAGACGCGGGCGGTGAGAACACTAGGCCCCTAAAAGGGTGAATTCTAAGATCCCACCTCGGTTTGAGAGGGAAACGAAACATTTCTTATATAGGTGTGGGAACTTCTGTCTAGTAGACGCGTTTTAAAATCGTGAGGTAGACGTCGATACGTAATGGGCTAAAACAAACAATATTTGTTAGCAGTGGGGTTAAGTTATTACAAATGATATTAGTGCCAGACACGGGGCTGTGAGGACGCTAGGCCCCTAAGGAAGTGAATTTTGAGATCTCACATCGGCTATAGAGGGGAACGAAACATTTCTTATAAAGGTGTGAGAACTTCTCTCTAGTAGATGCGTTTTGAAATCGTGAGGCAAACGTCGATACGTAATGGGCTAGAGCAAATAATATTTGTTAACAGTGGGGCCTCCAAAGAGGTGGATTCTGAGATCCCACATCGATTAGAGGGTGGAATGAAACATTTCTTAAAAGGGTGTAGCGTTTTAAAATCGTTTAGACGTAACGGACTAAAAAGAACAATATCTGTTAGTGGTGAGATTGAGTATATAAATGAACCGATATCATATCCAAATGAGAGCGATCCTGAAAATAGGATTGCTAAGAAAGCTATTACTTATACCAACAAGGTTCAGTGTGTTTTGCTTGAAACAATTTATGTTAGGTGACCAGGTAACATCGAGCTGCACATTGAAGACGCTATGTGCACGTGGTATAAAGTCGGAACAATGATAACATTTTAGTACAAAACTCGATAGTAATGACGTTTATTTTCAATCAAAAAGTCATATACTTATAAAATTCGTTCCATCTTATCCATTTTATGGAGAAACATAACTTGACGAGGATACCCACTTCACTTCAATACCATCATAGTTAGGTTAGGCACCGAACTTAGAAAGGGTCATTTCAGTCATTTCAAAATTATAATTTATTTATTTTTAATGATTTAATTAAAATTTAAAAATTACAAATACATATATACATCGCTGGAAAAAATATATTTAAATTAGATTTTGAAATTATTATTTCAATTGGAAATTAGAAAATAAGTTGAGAATAATTTATATATTTATTTATTCATAATTTAATCTATATTTTAAAATTAGAAACATGACCATGTTATCGGGTCTTCCATGTATTAAGTTTCTCCATTGATGAGCTGAAGCCATGCATTTAATTATAATTGTTTGCGTAAAAAAAATAATTATATAATTATTAATTATTTGACCATAACTACGCATTTTCATTTAATATATTTTACTTTATAAATAATTTATAATAATTTTTTCAAGTTCAACGACGGTAACGTGAAAGGTCGAATTATCGAACTTTGAGCTTTATTCCCTAAAATATGTTTGAACGTTTTGGCCCGTTTTAAATTTGGTAGTGATTTAATATATTTTTATTTTAAAAAAAAAAAAACTATGAAGAAAAACATTATTATATCAATAAAAATTATTAAAATAATAAAAATAAGCATTAAAGTTTAATTTGGAATAAACATTACTAATTACAAATGAATATCAATGATTAGTAAGAGGAGGGTGTTTTGGGAATTCATTGATCTTCACTGATGCTATGGAGATGAGGTTGCCACGCGCCGCCACACGAACGGCTTCTCCGGCGATTCCGGCTGCCGGATTTGGGCTTCTTCAAGACAATGACATCGACGTTGGAGTCCGGGAAAGCGGCGGAGTTGGGGGAGGAGAGGTTTTTGGGAGGCTTCCGATGGTCGGAACTAGCCGGAATCAAGAAATAAATACGGCCACGTCGGAGGTGAGATTGAGGGGAGAGAAGGGTGAAACGGCGGAGGAGGGAGTGATCATCGGAGGAGGGAGTGGTGAGGACGTGACCAGGATTGGAGTTGAGGATCTCGCCGGCGAGGAGCGGCGGAGAGAATCGTTGGACATGACCGTTAAGATGAACCACTCGGATTAAATCCAAAGCTCCACAAGGAAGAACACAACCCAAACAATGCATTAAACTATTGCCCATTTCGCCAAAACGCCGCCGTTTTGGAATCGAGCTCTGGAAGAAAATTATGAAGGGGAAAGGAAAGGAAAAGGCCGAGATTTATATAAATAAATACATAATGAAAATCAAATGGCGTGGAAAGTGAAAGTACGAAAATATCCTTTTGAAGTGGTGGGTTCGGAATTAAAATAATTGTTTTTTTTGTTTTATTATTTATGAATATTTTATTAAATTATTTTAAAATTTTAAAATACAAAAGATACCATAAAAACCAAATAGTAACTTTCTTTCAAAAAAATATTATTTTGAATTATTTATAAGTTATATTGCGTTATAAATAAAAATATAATTACTCAATTTACTTTAATAAAGTTTAAAAAGATAAGATAAATTAAAAAAAAGTGATATAATATTAAAATAAATAAGAAATTATGAAAGGAATAAATAAATAATAATAATAATAATAATTAAAATATGGATAATATGGAGACATGACAGCATAAGGAGTGAACGTGAATATAGGCATCCAACAAAGTGATTAAAGCTCCTTTACGTACGGAATTATTATATTATTATTATTATTCAATTTTTGCGTCTACTTATCTATTTATTCCTGCCTTTTAAATATTATTTTATTCTTATTTTTAATTTAGTTTTTTTTTATAAAAAAATTCATAAAAACTTAAGAATTAAATTAAAAATAAAGATATTTTTTAGGACTAAAACTATATTTTAATTTTTTAATATAACCTACGAGCAAGAATAATTTAAATAATTTTAATTAAAGAAATTTAATTAAACTATAACATAAAGCATCTCTTTGGATTAATTACTCTAATCTTAATATAATATAATATAATTTGATTAATTAAGGAAACCTAAGCCCAAGAGATAACCCAACTAATTAATGTAATTTAGTTTTAGGTTAATTATTTGTTTAATGATTTTGATTTTTGGGAACTTTCAATTAAGAGTCTCAGTCGAGGTGGGATTTCACAATCCATCTCTTTTGAGGACCTAGCCGCTAGCACACTGCTTGGTGTCTGACTCTGATATGATTTGTAACAGCTCAATTCTACAGCTGGCAGATATTGTCCTCTCTCTCTGAACTTTTTCTTTCGAGTTTCCCCTCAGTTTTAAAACGAATATGTTAAGGAGAGTTTTCTATACCAATGAATAGTTCGTTTTCCTCTCAAAACTACGTGAGAAAAAGAATCGACGTGACGAGAATTCTCAACTTGAAATAATGCAAAGATTTTGACACTAGAAGAAGAATACCGAGTTGCGTTCTGATTTTTATTCCTTTATTATTATTATTATTATTATTATTATTATTATTATTATTATTATTATTATTCTATTTTTCTGAATTTGTTCTGATTCCAACACTTTCTTGTGCACATCAAATGGAGTTTCAGTTCAGCTGTACATCACAAAGTATGTTCTTTTTTTCCAAAATAAATATTATATATATATTTAATTTCAAAATACTTTTAAGATATTTTTTAGCAAATTAAATTAAATGCTTAATTAATAATAAAAAAAAACTAATCATTTACTTTAAAACCCAATCCAACCGTAAGATAACATTTGGGCCACTAATTCTTGGCCCATTTTCTTGCTTCTTGGGCCATTTACTTCAAAACCCAATCCAATCGTTAGGGAACAGTTGGGCCACTAATTCTAGCCTCATCTGCATGCTTGTTGGGCCATTTTACTTCAAAACCTAATCCAATTGTTAGGCAAAAGTTGGGCCACTAATTCTTGGCCCATCTGCTTGCTTGTTGTTAGGGTTGCTACAAATCTAGAAGAATTTAGATAAATTATTATAAAAATAAAACCTAAAAAAATAATTTTAAATAAATATATATATATACAAAAAAAAAAAAAAAAAA